TATATATATATATATATATATTAGTTGTTTTTTTTAGCGGATTGGACTTCTTTGTACGACAAAATGAGCCTTCAACTTTGCAAAATCTGTACAGAGAGGTTCAGGAAGTACAAAAACCACCTCATGTATATATCATGTACCAGTTTCTAATTAAGGACTTTGAAGATATGAACAAGTAGGGGTGGGTCAAGCCAAACCCCCACCTAGGGGTGGAAAAATGGGCGGGTCGCGTCAGATATGTGCTGGTCGAAAATGGAATGCAAAAATTGATAAAATATTCAACCTGATCCATATTTAATACAGATAGAAAATGGGTTAATCGGCGGATAATATGGATATTAATATTATCCATGGCCTCTTGAATATGATCATTTTTGGGAGAATTCATAATCTCCCAAACTTGAGTGTGACGACCCAAAGGGTCATCACCTGTTTTCTCTTTCATTCCGTGCTTCCGAGGCCTTGAGAACCTCATTTTTACTTGCCTCGATTTGCGTGCGCAGTCCGGGCGCGTAGCCGGAAAGATTATATGTTAAATTCTGTGAAAAATTTAAAAATGTGGCTTTAAAATGATTAAAGTAGACTTTGGTCAACATTTTTGGTAAACGGACCCGAACCCGTGATTTGACGGTCCCGGAGGGTCCGTAGAAAAATATGGGACTCGGCATGTGCCCGGAGTCGAATTCCGAGGTCTAGAGCCCGAGAAAAGAATTTTTCTGTGAAATTGGTTTTCTGAAATTATTAAGGAAAATGGAAATGAAAATTAATTAAAAGACTGTGGTATCGGGCTCGTATTTTGGTTCCGACGCCCGGTACAAGTCTTATATATGGTTTAAGCACTTTCTGTGAAATTTGGTCGAAATCGGACGTCATTTGACGTGTTTCGGACCTAAATATCTAAGATTTGAAGTTTATGAAGTTAGAATGAAAAATGATGATTTTGGGGTTTGATTCATTGATTTTGATGTTGTTTTGGCGATTTGATCGCTCGGTTAAGTTCGTATGAGGTTGTTGAGTTAGTGTGTGTGTTTGGTTAGGAGCCCCGAGGGCTCGGGAGTGATTTGGAGGTGGTTCAGGGTGTTTTAAACTTAGGAAAAAGGATCAGATTTTGCTGCAATTTTGCACAGACTTTTGCTCTTTGCGATCGCGGCCTTTGGCTCGCGTTCGCACTGCTTTGTGACTTCCTTCATCGCGATCGCAATATAGTCCTCGCGTTCTCATAGCATTAGCTGACCCTGGGGGAAACCTTCGTCTTCGCGTTCGCATTAAGCATTCGCGAAGGCACAGCATTGCATTTTCCTTCACCGCGTTCGCGTAGAACAAATTTCAGGCCCCCAGTAATTAACTTTACGCGTTCGCATTTCCCTAATCGCGAACGCGATGCACCCAGCTTCCCCTTCATCGCGAACACGACCCCAGTGTCACGAACGCATAGAGTAAAATCCCCCAGTGATTTTTTAAAAAAAAACAGAACAGTACATACGGGTTTTTCTCAAAAATACTCACGAGCTCTCTTCTCTCCCAAGCTTTAGGGAGCTATTGAAGCCCCCATTCTTCAAGACCACTTGGGTAAGTAATTTCCTACTTATTTCCTTCATTATCCTTCATTAATTAGTAGGTTTCCAAGCTAAAATCACATAGATTAGGGTGGAAATTGGGGGAAAAGGTAGAGTTAGGGTTTTTCGATTTTCTTCGATTTAGACATCGTTTTGGGGTCGAATTTGAAAATAAATTGTATATTCGGGCTCGTGGGGGAATGGGTAACATGGAATTAGTTCGAAACTCGTATTTTGACCAAGCAGGCCCGGGGTCGATTTTGGAATTTTTGGAAGAAAGGTTGGGAATTCATATTTAGGCATTGAGTTTAGTTTGTTTAGCTATTATTAATATTTTAAGGTCATTATTTCATAGATTTGACCGAGTTGGAGCCGAATTCGAGGGGTAAAGCTACACTAGAGGCTTGAGTTAATTTTCGGAGCATTTGAGGTAAGTGTTTGGTCTAACTTTGGCTTAAGGGAATAGGAGTAGGGTCTTATTTGCTATTTGCTATGTGTCGAGTACGGTGTATAGGCATGGTGACGAGTATCTATACACTGGTGTCTAGCATGACCGTATGTCCTTATATTGAGATTATCCTGAATTGTTGTGATCCTTACATGCTTAATTGATGATTACTATATACTGTAAAGAGCATGAGACAGAGATTATGATTTCTAAACTTCGTGGAGCAATGGCTCGAGTTGTGTTACGGATTGAGAAGGTATATGATATGAAATGACTCTTTGGAGCGATGGTTCGAATGTTAAAGTGAACTATAAGTGAGAAGTGTAAGAAAGAGAAAGAGTTGATGGTTACTCCCTTGCCGGGACGTGTTATTGGTTTTGTTGATTTTCTCCCTTACCGGGATTTAATTGTGTTGTTATATCTCCCTTGCCGGGGTTGCTGTCACCAGTTGTTACCCCCCTTACCCCTTACTTGTGATTGTTGATTGGGTGAGGTTAGGTTATTTATGTATGGATCGGGTTGCACGCCGCAACAGTGATAATCGAGGATCGGGTTGCACGCCGCAACAACACTATATAATTGTGGATCGGGTTGCACGCCGCAACAACACTGTATATTTATGGTTCGGGTTGCACGCCGCAACAGTGGTGATTGAGGATCGGGTTACACGCCGCAATAGTATTGTATGTGATCGGATCGGGTTGCGCGCCGCAACAAATTATAGCTTAATTGTGTTTATTCCATATTTAAGTTTCTGTTGGCTGTTCTATCCTTTAATTTTAGACTTCCTGTTTTAACTGTTGCCTCCCCACAGCATGTTTCCCCCCCTCCTTTTGTAACTGCTTATTTCCTGTTTATTTTTCGCAATATATTTCATAACTGCACAGGTTTATCTGGTAGTCTGGTCTAGCCTCGTCACTACTTCGCCGGGGTTAGGCTAGGCACTTACCAACACATGGGGTCGGTTGTGCTGATGCTACACTCTGTGCATCTTTTTGCACAGATTCAGGAGCAGCTTTTGGGCCTCAGCAGTAGGATTTGATCGGGAGCTGACTTCAGTCCAGGAACTTTCGAGGTATCCTAGCTGACGTTCGCAGGCCGGAGTCCCTTCTATGTTATTAGTTTGTTTTCCTTGTACCGAGACAAACATTGATGTACTTCTATTCAGACTTGTTTTTAGCACTCTTTAGTAGTTCGTGAGTTAGTGACACCAGTCTTGGGTAGAGAAATGTTAAACTTCCACATTTGGTTTTCAGATATCTATGTTTTTAAGACTTCCGCTTTATTTTAAATGACTCGTATTATTATTATTGTTGAGATGTTATCAGAAAATGTTTTAACTACTTGGCTTGCCTAGCTCCGATAGTAGGCGCCATCACGACCCCCGATGGTGGGAAATCCGGGTCGTGACATTGAGGTACCCAATTTAAGTCTTTATACAAATATAAAAGTTAAACCCATTGGTTATCCATTATTTAAGTGGATAATGTGGATCTTATCCGTATTTTCTTCATTTTTAAAAAGTTTATTATCCAATCCATCTTTAGTGCATAATATAGATAGATAACTATTTTTTTTTTATCCATTTTGCCACCATTACCCCCACCAATCCTTTGGTGACTTTTGTTAAAAAGAAAAAGATTTGTTAGAATGAATTTAAAGGATTATTTCCTCTCATAATTTGGCATATATATGAAATTTGAAACATTGGGATGACAAAAAATAAGGTCATTTGGACTTGTGGAAATATTCCATGACTTTATGATATGAGGCAACGGGTAAGAGGTCAAAGTTTCCCTTTGAAAGAAACACGTAATGGTCGAGTAATCAATTTACTATTTTTCAGGAGCGAGTGAGTCTCTCTTACTAATAGAAACTAGGACTACATAAAAAGAAAGTTGTATTCACACGGGTACGCGCAAAAAACTCGGGTTCAACAATGAACCGCAACGGAAAAGGTGGATAAACCCAAATGGTTCCCATAACGGAGCCGGGTTGGCTGAGGGACGAGCCCTCTGGTCAAAAAGTTAATACGGACTCGGAACTATAGTGATTGAGTCTCAGAGAAAGAAACCTGAAGGTTCCATTTTCGGAACTTTTCACACGTGATTGTTATTTGTATTATTTTAAGCAGTATGTATATAATAATCATAGACAGTGAGAACACAATAAGTAATAGACTTTCAATCAATTTCCTCTCCTCTTTTCTTTCCGCAGCTTCTTTACAGTCAACACAATCATTCAAGCAAGTAGTGTATATATATAAAGACACAAGAATTATTCCTGACAGACAACAGATATCATTTTCGCACCAACTACTCTAAGGTAAGCTCTTTACAAGAACTCTTATCCCCTTAATTTGTCTTCCACAAATATCTATCTAAGATACTTATTGTGATTGGAATTTTATGTAGAGCCAAGATCTAATCATATATAAGAGAGAACTGATCATTAAGGAGACAGACTTCCCAATAATGGATATGTCATCGGCTACATGGTGGTCTGAAATGGTATGACAAAATAATATTTACTAATAGCTACAGTAGTTTTTATTGGTGAAATTAAAGTTCCCTATGATTTTACAAATTAACGTTTTATTTGATGACAAATACAGGAGATTATGGATATGAATGATCTTCAATACGTTGAACACTGCCAGTCGATGACCTCGTCATTAGATGAATTGCCTTTCAATAATAATTATCCCTTTTCCCCTTGCACCTATGGTATTCAGGCTGCTGGAATATTGGTAGAGGAGCCAGTTTTTGGAATGGGAACTGATCACCGAAATACCTATTTCTCTTCTCCTTCTCCTCCGCCTTCTTCTTCTTCCCCGAGCGTCATTTCTTTTTGCAACACCAACTCACCATCAATCCAAAACTACCAAGAAAACTTGAACAGCTCGGTCAAGACTGAGGTTCCATCAGGAATTACTACCATAAACTTCTCCTCTCAAACTTGTCCAGATTCTGATTTAGACGATAGCCAGCATCTATTCCAGGCCATGGGATTTGGCGCTGGCGATATTAATCAGAAGAAGAGTTATAGTAGAACGCCTTTGCAGGCACAAGACCACGTTCTCTCAGAAAGAAAACGAAGAGAACGCCTTACCCAGTGCTTCATAACTTTGTCTACCCTCATCCCTAACCTAAAGAAGGTACTATATATATTTTCTCTTCTTTCATGATTCTATATATGTTAATAGCTAATTACTCAAAAATCTTGATATGTAGTACTTTAATTGTTTGTTCTTTTAAAAAACTATCTTGATGAAGTGCATGCTTCATATCTTAATTAATTACCTCCGATCGCCACTTTGTTTAAGAATTATATTCTATAGCAATTCCGAATTTATACTCCTGGTTGAGATTGATTGTGTCCAACGGCGGATGTGTAGTGTTAGCATGGGTTCAGTTGAACTCCCAATTTTCCCTCTAGACCATAGATATATACATGTGAAAATATAAACATTATTGTTTTGAACTCGTATATTCAAAGAACTTTTAACATCTTGAGCCCATTAGAATTAAATCTGGAATTCATCTCTAATTGTGTGTTTGTTATTCTTCTAACAGTTGGACAAGGCATCAATACTTGGAGATGCGATAAAATATATAAAACAACTGGAAAATCAAGTAAAAAGCCTTGAGGAAGAAACAAAGAAATTTAGCGAGGAACCAGTGGTTGCAGTTAAGAGAAGTCGCCTGCTCTCAACTTATGACAACTCCTCATCTTCTGATGAAAACTCCAACACTAGAAGGACCAACAAATCAGTCCCAGAGATTGAAGTTAGAGCTGCAGATGGGAATGTTTTGATTAGAATTTATTGCAAAAAGCAAGCGACGATAATAAAGGAAATATTCAGCCAAGTAGAGAAGTTCAATCTCAGTATCATTAGTAGCAGTGTCATGCCTTTTGGCGACATCAGCACCTACATAACCATTGTTGCTAAGGTACTAACTTAGTTCTTTAAATTTTATTTAACTTTCATTTACGTCCAATATAATTGCATTGTTTTGCTAATATTTTGAACAAAAAATTGAAACAGATGGATCATCAGCTAAACATGACAGCAGAATATGTAGCTAAAAGAATACGTGAGACTATAATGAAACTCGTCAGCAGCCATATTGACGTTTAACGAAGCCAGCTCCAGATTTTCAGACGTTAATGTATTAAGTGATAATGTTAAATTTAGAATTTATAGGGTGGGTCTCATGACTTGGTTTTTAGGAGGTTTTCATTATTGTGGACTGGGGCTTTGCTTCTCTTTTTTTCGGGTCACAAGTTGGGACCCGTTTAACAATTGCCCCACTTGCTACAATTGAGGATGTCACCCTCTATTTTGACAAGTCATGGAATTCCACTAAGTGGTCTTCTTTTGTTCTCCTTTGGGGGGGGGGGGGGGGGTACGTGCTACAGACCATGCACGTTTTGACGTTTGTTTTTTTTTTTTTTTTTTTTTTTTTTTTTTTTTTTTTTTTTTTCTTATTGTTTTTGGGCTTTAGGTAACTAATTTTTGGCCTTTGTTGTATAATATATACTTTTTGTCTACATGTCTTCGTGGTGTAATAAAACATGTTTATGGATTTAGCGAAACCCTTGTCTTTACGTTGGATATATCAATGTCACCGTGCAAGCAGCTAGTCGATTTCTTTTTGTGCTTCTCTCATTGAATAAATTTTGATCAAATTAATTGAAGTCTATAAATTTTTGACATAAACCCCAATTTATCAAAGAAAATTTGTTTTCAATGTCCAACTGACCATAAAATTTCCACTTTCTAATTATTGAATTTATAAATACGCCATTTACTCTATAAATAATGAAATAATGAGATGAGCTATGCTCCCAATTTGCAAAAGTTTATCTCGAGAAACGAATACTTCAAGTGTATTTTGGGAATCTGGCCATTTTCAGATCTCCAACAAATATGCCCTTGCAATATAAGGCTAGTTGCATTTAATTAAAAATGATTGTTTGTCTACACAATACGGATCCAACTCCTCTCCATTTCTCAGTGTCTCCATTTCTCCAAGTTCTTACTTGGATGTAAGACACATGTCTTATTTATAAATTAATGGTTTAGATTTAATTAGCTAAAGATCATAAGCCTTAACCATAATTAGATAATACATATATTCTATATACTTGCTATCAAAAGATTTAGTGAGCCCATAATTCTAGGTACTAAGTTCAAATATTCAAGATCTGATACTATATTAAATCAACAAGAATTATGTTTTAAGCAATTAAGATTTTCAATATCCACATAGTTCTCCAAAATATTCAAATTCATGTCATCTTCAATTTCTTTCTCCTACATGTCTTTATCCCTCTTCTCAACTACTTTCTCCTGTTCCAACCAATTTTAGCAGCGTATTCTTTCGTAGTATTCATATGCATGTCTAAATGAATCAAATTTTATCCCAAGGTTTATAAGTACAAAGGAATAAGAAACATCCATATGTTAAATTTGAAATGTAATCACAAATCTACCACTGAAAAGGAGAAAGTAGGACAATAATCACAATTCAAAACTCTCTAATACATGGTACTGCCAAGAATAAAGCTTAATTTAATTTCCAGTTAAAATTAGATTGAGTTTTTAAATAATTAATTCAAATGAATTTTTTTTTTTTAAAAAGGATTGAACTCTAGAATAATAAAAAGAAAATTGTGAAATAAAAAGGTAAATTTACTACGGTAGATTGCAACTTAAATTTTTAAAAGAATTGACATGGTGGTAAAAAGAATTTCGGGATAACTTTGGGCGCCAGAAATAGATTTGTAGGAAGGAATATCAAAATTTCTGAAAATTATATATGGAATATCTATTATTTTAACCATGGTTAATGCTTTGTTTTAGTTAATTAAATTTAGACCATTGATTTTAAAATGATATATGTGTCTTTTATCCAAGTAAGAACTTGGAAAAATGGAGGTAATAGAAAATGGAGAGGAGTCAAATCCACACAATACTACTCGCAACGTTAATGTTTGCTGTAAAAATTTGAAATGGATGTTGTATGGCGAGGCATTGCTTTTGTAGTTCCTTTTGTTTTTTGTTATATCTTTTTAAGTTTCAAGATACAAATGTGTGCTATGATTAACAGATCGATGAGCAGTAATTGCATGAACCGCCATGAAAAATCTTTTAGTACTAGCTGGAAATCATATGAAAATTAAATTGACCAGCTCGCAGTTACTAAATGAGAAATTAATTATTTAATTAATTAATTATTCCGGTCTATATTACCACAACGACAATGGGATTTGGCCAACCTCAGAATCTTAAGTAGAAAACGAAAAAAAGATAAAGTGGAGCCTATTCATATTCTCCCGTACGGTATAATATTAAAATTCCAAACAAATAAATTTTCATGTCTTCCTTTCTCATCCATCTAAGCTTTTAAAGGAAGTGCACTAAGATAAGTTGACAAAAATATCGATGCGGGAAAAAAACCATTCCTACACCTTATTCACTTTTTTCATTTTATGTTTCCCACCATTCTGTTTTTCTTGTTTTGTCTTTGAAAGTTCCAACCTTTCTTTTCCGATACTTCTTGACATTTTGACTTAGGTCGAGGGCTTTGATAAGTGAAATTTTTTATTTCTAATCGGAAAATGAAGCTGTTTATGATATACTACTATTGTACTAATAAACTCACTATATAGCCTACGACGCTTTTCACAAGCGTTAAAAACTTCGTTTACATTTGATATTTGTACCAAATTGATCAATGCAATAAAAATGTCTTGCATATAAACGTTTATCATTAATTTAGTCACTGTCATTTTAGAAAACATAATTCGTAGGAGTCAGTTTGGAAGCTGTAGTAGCCCTTTGTTGACCTAGACAGCCATGGCAGAAGAAGAAGAAAGTCGGTGAAGAAAAAATGAGAGCTTCATTCTCTGTATTGAAAGAAAAACTGTTCCAACTGATTCTCTAAGCTACTGTACATATAACTAACTTCTATTTATATTATTCACTAACTAACTAACTACACCATATTAAATTAACTACTAAATTGTACAGCTGTTTCTTCTACACTCCCCCTCAAGCTGAGGGATGAAAGTAGACTCTTCATTCCCAGCTTGCAGAGTAAGTAATCATGTTGTGGACTGCATAGACCTTTGGTGAAGATATCTTCCAGTTGCTCTCTTGTACCAATATGCTGAGTTTGAATCATCCCTTCTTGAATCTTTTCCCTTAAAAAATGACAGTCTATATCTATGTGTTTGGTTCTTTCGTGAAAAATAGGATGAGCTGCAATTTGAATTGCAGCTTTACTATCACAGTGAAGTTGAACTGGAAGCTCAACTGATACTCCCAATTCTTCATATAATCCAACCAACCACTTTATTTCTGCAACAGTAGTGGCCATGCTTCTGAATTCTGCTTCAGCTGAGCTTCATGAAATTGTTCCTTGCTTCTTTGATTTTCAGGAGATTAAGGCATCTCCAAACTTCACATCATAACCTGTAACTGATTTTCTTGTCTCTACACAAGCTCCCTAATTTGAATCACAGAAGGCAACGAGCTTTTGACTGCCAGTTGATGGTAGAAATAGGCCAAGACCAGGATTGTTCTTAATGTATCTGATAACTCTCAGAGCAGCATCTAGATGGGACTGCTTGGGAGCATGCATAAACTGACTCAGAACCTGTACCACAAATGCTATGTCAGGCCTAGTCATGGTCAAATACAACAATCTTCCTACTAATCTTTGATATCTACTTCTTTCTTCAAGCAACATGTCATCAGACAAGCCCTCCTTGTTGAACAACTTATCAAACTCTATAGAAGTAAGCTTGTGATTAAATTCCAGTGGAGTGAGTGCTGGTTTTCCTACTGATAGGCCAGACTCAGATAGCAGCTTGATGATGGACTATAATTACGTATTTTAGTCGATTATTACACTCTAATTTACTACACTTTAGTTGAGTTTGCGCTTTAATCGCTAGTGTTTTGCACTAATTGTGTGTTTTATGCCTTGTAGGGGTGATTCCGAGCTATGTAGATGTTATGGAATGAATTCAAGTGATTTGGAGCTTTGAAGTCTGAGTAAGAGCCCAAGGAATTAAGCCGGGATCGTATTCGGGAATCAACGGATGATAGAACAACAAAACAAAGAATCAAGTAGGCATATTGCGCACTGTCTAGTAAAATGCACGTAAATTTTTGTTAAGAACTCCATTTGGGCTCCACAATATATGGTTGGGAAGCTAATTCAAAGGGCTACAACTTTCATGTTTTACGTCTTTCCAAACTCCAAACGAAACAGGGTGAAAAACGCGATCGAAATCGCGACCACGGACCTGAGGCGGGCTGAGGCAGTAGCCTTGCAATGTACCGCGTCCGTACCGCGGTTGACCGCGGCCGCGGTAGTCCAGACGTGAAATATTATCCTTTTTCGCGTAAGATAAGGTATAATTATTTGGGCCCGACCCTATTTGGTATATATACATGGAAAAATGGTATTTTTAAGGAGGAGACCAACTTTTGACATAATTTAGACCTAAGGAGGCGGAGGAGACCAATTTTTGACACAGATTCAACCTAAGGAGGCAGAGACACAATATGAGCAAGGCGGGGAATTCTTCAACGAGTTTTTCCTTCCTCTTCCTATTTTTTCATTGTTGGTTATGACTTTTAGTATTGTAGTTTTACATACTATTATGAATAGCTAATTTGTTATCTAGGGTTTTGATAAAACCTTTTGTAGGATAAATTCTTGTTATGTTTTTATATAATTGAGCCGTTGGATTTCTCTACTTGTTCAACTACGTGTTTGTTGTTGTTGATTGAATGGCCATCAATTGACTGTGCCTATTTAGTGTGTACTGCTCGAGAGAGAGTACATATTTAGGTAGTTGTTGAACAACATCACTCCTAACGTATGTGAGAAATCAATACATTGGGTTTAAAGGTAGGCTTAGAAATAACAAAGCCTTGACGTGGTCATAATGAGCGGTTAGATAAAGCCAACTAGCGTAGTTCGAGAGAATATGTCTAGTAAATTGTTGTAGTTGCTCGAGAGAGAATTACGGCACCTAAAGTGCTCACGATCAGTAGAGAATATATCAGCGAAATTGTAGGGAACATAGCTGTAAGGATTTCGACAAATTGGGGAAATCATAACTCTAGACCTCCTTAATTTAGTCTCCAACCCTTTGTCTTGTTAGTTGATAATTTTACCGCTTTGTAGTATTTGCTAGTTAATTAGTTAGAAATATAAATCTCAATCTATATAATTTAGAAAATTGTTCAATCTTGTCTTCTTAGTGATATTGAACAGATACAGCTAAGCCTTAGTTCTCTGTGGGATTCGACTCCGGACTTTTAGACCGGATTATATTTGCAGCGACCGCTTATCCTTTTTAGGACTAGAGTTGGGCGT